GTCTTACGATTTGGAACGTGAATTTCACAACTATAAGGGTAGTACGTGACATAACAAAACGTGGACAAAATAACTCCCTACAGCGAAAGGAAAATAACATCGCTTCATTACATCTCGCTCAGACCCGTGATTTATTTCAATTTAACCAGCGCCGACAAAAGGTGGTGAATCGATTGTACAGACACATCCTTGACTGATTCAGAAAACTCTGACAGTCGCTAGTAAATAATTCACAATCCTACAAGTATCGCCACAAAACAATGATCTGAAAGATTATAAACCTGGGCCGGACCCAGCGTGAAACAAATATTTACAGCAGTAAATTGATCATAGTCAAGATGACATTCAGCTACGGTGTTCGACTCCTCTTATAAAAACTATGGAAATTAAAACCTTAAAAAGAACATATATTTAAAGAAATATTAGAACAAATATAAAATGCTTTCGATCTGATCAATGTACATTCTGTCTGAACCAAGGAGCAACCAGGCATTGAAAATCAATTACCACATGTCCTAGCTTTCAAAGATAAAGGATACTAAAAAATCATCTAAAGCGGCACACGACAAACTATGAAAGAGTTCTCCAGATGAAAAATTTCCCCAAATGTTTTCTTCAATATGAATCCTTTTGGTGTTTATTTCATTCATCAGTCCCACGAAAGGTAAACGCGTCGTTCTGAGGAAAAAAAAGACGTCTGCGGTTCCCAGGCTAGAAAAAGGGCGGCTGTGCACACGTTCGGTATAGCCTGCGAGAGCATCCGGTTTTTTCGTGTCTAGTTTGTTGGTTCCACATAAGAATACACAAGAGACAAAGCCCGAAATACTACAGACTTTCCGAAAACAGTGGAAGATTGACGAAAACATCGCTCTTTGATTCAACAAGTCGCAAGGCTTCATCTTCATCTGCTTCATGCTTGTTGAGTCTTTCAAACCCAAAAACTTCCCATTCTTTCCTGAACGCATACTCAGCCATATTTTCCAACGCGTTTGCGCAAGATCCGCGCAAAAACTCGCGCGTTTCTTCTTCGAATATGCAAGGTGAATTGTGATTGGTCACTAACAGCTGACGTCACGGAAATTTTTTCTCGGCTCGTTTTCGCAGACGGTTTTTCTCGGCGGGTGAAACTAAAGCTGAAAAAACCGGATGCTCTCGCAGGCTAAGTGCACCTTAGGAGAGTAAAATTATAAAAACGTTGTCACTGTAATTTTGTAATTTCACTTGTGAAATTATATACTTATACTGAAATTTTGCGCCGAAATTAAGGAGTAATTTGTCACCCATGATATAAAGTATTCAGTTTAATCCTTCGCTCATACGCTTTGCACATATCTGCATGGTTATCAGCATATCTTCGGTCTTAACCATTTCAGAGAGTATGGCCTTTTATTGATTTAGTTAGCAATTTAATGCCTTATGTCTAATGTGTTCCATCGTCACAGATTTACCAAGCATCCTCAGCGACAGTCAAATTGGTTTTATCGACCCACAAGAAATGCACTTTGGTGATTCTCGAACAGGATTCATGTGGCGTTTAAAGAAACAAAAAGAAGAAATGGACCAAATTCCAGATCAGTTTCATCCTTTCAAAGGAGTATTCGACTGCGACGACGACGTCTTTACACAAGGGTTTTACAACGGGACGTTGTTTCGATTTCCCTTGCGGGACATCGCCTCCAGCTTATCGGAGACATTGTATTCTGACGAAAAGATGCAGAGTTTATTTGGCAGTTTCATTGCTGACGCTCACCTCGTTCTCCTGTTTCTGCGAAATCTGGAAAAAATTGAACTTTACATACGAGAGAAATATGAGTCTGAACCTAAAAGAATTTTTCATGCAAAGATCACCGAGGAAAGTCTGGAACTGGTTCGAAGTAAAAGGAAAGAGTTCCAAAACCAAATCGAACAAGGTAAACACATGCAAGAGCCTGTCGCCGTTACTTATCCAATCACAATCGAGACACAGACAGTTGACGGCGTACAAAAACACTCCTTCCTTACCACCAACTACTGCTGCGGAGTTGACGTCTCACGTGATTTTGAAAACCTCCTGACAGATAAAGAACTCAGCTATTTACCGTCCGTTGGTGTTGCTATGGCACTACGGAGTGATGTGCTAGCCTCTCCCATTGAAGGCCACGTGTTTTGCGCTCTACCTTTGCCAGTACAAAAGAAGAGCATGACAGGTTTGCCAGTTCATGTGAATGGATTCTTTGCATTAAACCAGAACCGACATTACATTAAAACGCCAAATGCAGATGAAGACGACCGAGATAAGCTTACTGACAAGAAACAGTTGCTGTGGAATCGATGTTTGATGGAGGAAGCTGTGCCAAAAGCTTACGTGATGATGATAACGGAAGCCATCAACACATTCAAAATTCAGCCAAACGCAGTCTACAGGTAATTGAGTTTTTCTACTTTTAATATCTGTAGCATAATACGTCCCTGAATACCAGAGACCGGAAATGTCTTAAGTTTTAGTTTATCTGAAACGTCACTCCTGTCAAGCAAGACGGAATCCATTAGGAAATTGAGTAATTTTAATTTTCAGTGGACAAAACCCTTGCACCAGAATATTTTAAGCCATATCGCATTCTTTTTTACATTTTCCAAGGGCTATAGATGTACTTAGTTATCTGTAATAACACCAAAGACAGTTTCTTAAGGGAGCGCAAGAAAATAAATTTCAAATTTCACAGGAAATGAGAAAACACAGGTAAAATCGTCATGCGTATGATTTCATTCTGTGAAATTTGAGGCTTTTTGATTTTTTTTTTCGGGCTCCAATAAGAACCTCTTCTTCGGAGTTATTTCATTCAACTTATTACATTTTTAGCCCTTGAAAAGTGTGAAAAAGAATGCAATATGCTTGAAATTATTCTGGTACAAGGTTTTTGTCCACTGCAATTTTAAATTGCTCAATCGCATAATGGATTTTGTCTTAATACATTGACGTTGATACTGCTACTTGGGACACAAGACCCTTTAAGTCTGAGCAACTGAAAAAAGCCCCAAGGGTTTCAGCCGATCAATCCGGTCTGATCTGTCTTGTTAATTGTCTTTATACTCAGCTGCAAAGAAAAATTGATTAGTCATTCTTTCACAGATAAACTACGACCTCTTTAGGAATTGTGGTAGGTAAATTAATCGGAAATTGACACTGATATTTTATGATGAAATACTTTTTTTTACAGAGCATGGCCAAATATATTCAAAATTGATCAAGCTTGGTTAAGCGTGCAAAAACCTTTCTTTGAGAAGCTGGTTCGTGAGAATGTGATTGCTACTCATTGCGGCAGGTGGTTGAAAGTTGAGGACGTTCTCTTTGACAGTCTTGATGACAAGGAGCCGAGAGATTTGCTTCTGAAAGCATTGATTGACGCCAATCAAAATGTCGCTAGCCTGCCCGAACATGTGTTGAAATCCATTAAAAACTATAGACAGGCTATCAAAGAGATCACTCCTTCATTAGTGAGGCACGTGTTTAAAGCCTCACCATCCTGTTACAGTCGTCTACATCGGGAGGAGAAGTTGTTTCTTTTGAAATATGTCGTAAAATGTGAACAAAACAACTTTGTAGACCTGATTGGTTTGGAGCTTCTACCTACTGCCAGTGGGACCTTCATACCCTTTTCAGATTGCGGTGATAATGTTTACATCTGTACTTCAGAGCATCCACTGCAACTCCTACCGGGAATGAGAAATTGGTTGTTAGACCCAAAAATTGACAAGAATCTTCAAGCAGTTTTTGAGGAGATAGCAGGACAAGGTAAGTCAATAGAACGATCATTAAGCATCAAGGCTTGAAATAACTGGCCGTCACTCACCGGATACCTTTTCCCGTCAAAAGTATTTTTGTTCAACAGACATGACCGGTATTTGGCCGGTTAGATATTGTAAAGTAATAGCTTATTAGTACAAACGTTGTTTACGAATGGACAGGAATGGTTGTTTAAGGAGAAGACTAAAATGATATTGACAAACGAGCCTATGAAAAACGGTACCTTACCAGTACGTCTTAGATACGAGCGTGGACTATGAATTTATGAAGAAGTCCTGAGGAGATAGGACTAATAAGGTACAAAGAAATTAAAATAGAAACAAGGTAGAGTAAGGGTTCTTTTAAGATGGCTGAACGTAGTTTGGTAGATGGTGAATAGTTATGAAATTCATTTTTCAGTATTTTTCTTTGGGTCATGTGAGACTTGTTATTTCAAACAAATTTCGTCAGGGCAAATTCTTAGCACCCAAACTTTCTCAGAGAAACTGTGTTCCGTCACCTAAAGCTAAATTTCAGGTGGTCACTTTGTTCACAGGGTGTACTCAACTACGACGCCTTTGCAAAGAAGAAATACCTGCTCTGCTTAAGAAGTCGTTACCTTCTGAATGGTTTGGTAAACACATGGTTCAGTGGTTCCCCGGTAAGGACTTAAATCATCCCCCGAAGCGCTGGCTCGAATCTTTATGGATATATTTACGAGATCACTTTAAAGAAGACCTGACTACTTTTGAAAACCTTCCTTTGATCCCACTGGACTTGTCACAAGTCCCCGTAACGTTAACAGAGTTAACAAACCCATCAAGAGTTGTTGCCAAGAGACTGAAAAATGACCGCCTAGATGGAAAGTTGAGCGAAGTCTTGAAGGAACTCGGGGTAATACTCATTAAAGAGTGTCCTACTTTTTTGCTGAGTCATCCAGCCGTTCTGGAAACATTTGTTCATCCACCGCGTGTACATAGCGTTTTAAAAGCTATGGAAGCTTCTTCTTCGTTCTTGGGGGACGGCCCCGGCATGCATTCAGCCATCATGCTAGATAAGGTGAAAGACGAGAGCAAACGCTTCTTGAGAAAATTTATTTCTAAAACACCATCCCTTTCCCCGGAAGAAAAGTCTTACGTTTCTTGCCTTCCCATTTTTGAGACACTGACAAAGGTTTTCGTGTCAAAGAAACATGGCTTGGGAGCAGCACCAGAAGATCCAATTGCAGTAGCTCTAAATGGAGATTTCATTGACGTCAGTGATAAAGATTCCAAGGACATACATGGCCGGCCTGCTAGAGATCGGAATTCCAACGCTAACTGAATTTGTGTGCGATAAGATTTTTCCTGATGTGGGAAGAAGGTGCTATTCAGAAGAAGACATTGATAAACTTATGTCCTTCGTAATAGAAAGGTATCATGTTCATCTAGAGGCCGATGATAAATTTGAGAAGACCATGAAAGCCCTCCCATTTGTTCCAACCAACAGTGGACGAGTCGTAGCAGAAGGCATCTTTGATCCCAGGGAAGCCCTATTGCAGGACATTTTCGCTGATGAAGACGTGTTTCCTGTTAGAGAACCTTATTTAAACCCTGAATTCCTGGTGATTCTAGAGAAACTTGGCATGAAGAGCGAGAAAGAAATCTCTGTCCATGACCTCCTAAAAAGTGCAAAGAAAGTGACTGATGTGCCGAACTCTGTTAAAGCGAGGCAAAAATCAGAAGCCATAATGGCTTACTTGGAGAAAAATCCTAGGAAACTCAAGGAAACTTTTTCTGGAAAAGACTTGGGATCACTGCTTTGTGATATAAAATGGGTATCTGCTCTGAGAAAAAAGCCTCATGGCTTTCCAAAGACCCTACATCTCTACGGAGAAACGGCCAAAAAAGCCCTTTTCTACAGGCCAACAGATGTCACAAGTGAAGACAAAGTGAACCTTATTGGAACGGTGATGCCCATTGTTAAAGTACACAGTCAATTGGCCAAACATTTCGGCTGGAACGAGAAGCCCCGTGCCTCGGACGTCGTGAAGCATTTAAAAACGGTATCGTGCCATTACACCGCGAATGAGAAGGCCCAGTATATCGAAATGGTAAAGGAAATATACTCCTTTCTTGACCAGCCTAAAGACGCTGATGTAGAAGCGGCCATGCAGGAAGTTGAGCGTTCAAGTTGGATATGGAATGGAGACGGCTTTTCCTCTTCTAAGACCATACTTACTCATAAACCTCCAATTGACCTATTGCCATATATTTTCTCCCTTCCTTCAGAAGTGAAACAGTTCTCAAGGCTTTTCACAACGTTTGGCATGCAAGAGCGTTGTGAACCTTTGTCCCTTCTTCATGTCCTTCACCAGATAAAAGAGAAGTATCTTGATGATGGCCGTCGCTTTCCTCACTCAGAAGTAAAGAAAGATTTGCAGATATCTGTTGACATTCTAAATGAGATCAAGCCAGATGTTGGCAAACAGCTGCCTTGGCACCTTCAGGAGAAAGTTCTCATACCTACACATGTAGAGGGAGATTCCTGTGTCAGGCTAGTCAAAGTTGAAGATTGCATGTACTGTGAACGCGAATGGCTTGAAAGAGGCAACCTTGACGAAGAAGTGGATTATTTGTATGTGCATCCAAATGTCCCAAATAGTACTGCAGAACTTCTACAAGTTCCCACTTTAACTAATCGAATGCTCAAACCCGATGAGATGCAAATAGGAGATGAATTTGGACAAGAAGAGAAATTGACAGACAGACTTCGCCGACTTTTGGAAGAATACACAGATGGATTTTCCGTACTTAAAGAGCTCATTCAAAACGCGGACGATGCCGGTGCTACTGAAGTTAAATTTCTCTACGATAAGAGAAACAATAAAGATGCACAAACCTGTTTGATTGACGAAGGGATGAGAGAATGCCAAGGTCCTGCTTTGTGGGTTTACAACGACGCGGAGTTTCGTGATGAGGATTTTATTAACATTACTAAACTGAATGGTCGTACCAAAGAAACCAAAACTGAGAAAATTGGCAAATTTGGACTAGGTTTCAACGCAGTGTATAACCTGACAGACGTTCCAATGTTCCTTAGCAAAAACTTTTTTGTCATCTTTGATCCCAGCACCCTCCATCTGGGCAAAGCGATAAGGAACAAAAGCAAACCGGGAATGAAGATCGACGTCAATAAAAACACGAAGAGGCTACGAAATTTCAAGAACCAGTTTAAGCCCTTCAATGGCATTTTCGGATGTGATTTGCTTCTCGAGAAAGAAGACAACTCGTTTAATGGAACACTTTTTCGATTTCCGTTGAGGACGAGACAACAAGCCGCAAAAAGTGAGATAAAAAATCTTCATTATAACGATGAGGAAATGCGTCAGCTGTTGAAAACCTTTTACGAAAGGAGAGACCTTTTGCTTCTGTTCACACAGAACGTAATCCGTGTTGGCCTTTACAGCTTGCATAGTTCGTCACGTCAAAATCCACAACCAAAAATGTTGTTTCAGGTCACCAAATCCCTAACAGAAGGTGGAATACTGAGGGAATTGTCCCTTCCTGTCATGTTACCTCATACTGCAAGAAAACTGGACGCAGAGCATCAGAAGTTATTGGAACAAACTAGTTTTCTTCAAGCGGCGTCCATGGTTAAAAGAAAGGCAAAGGGTTGCAAAGTTTCTCCAAAGGAATCTTGTGTGTCTTCAATTGCTGTGGACGTTGAATGCCACCTCACCAATTGTGGAGCAAGTTTTTTCAAAACTAAGGAGGCCTCACAAGAGTCTTGCACTTGGCTGGTGGTATCCTCAATTGGGAAAGGCGAGGCAATGGAGTTTGCACGAAAAGATCCTAGTCTTGTTCCATCAGCGGGAATAGCTGTTCAGCTGCTAAGGAAAACAGAAAACTTTTTTCTGCCATCTCCTGTCACGAAGAAAGACAGTGGACTTAATCTAAACGGTACGATTTTCTGTTACCTTCCACTTCCAATGCACAGCGGTCTCCCCGTACACATAAATGGAGCATTTGCAGTGACTTCTAACAGACGTCATTTACAAGAGAAACTTGAAGACGACAAAGATTGCTATGGAGTGAAATGGAACACAAAGCTTATGGAAGATTCTATAACGTCTGCTTACTTTACTTTACTAGAGGATGTAAAGTCAATTGTACCTGATGACGGTTCATATGCTTTCCATTCATTATGGCCGAAAGAGTGCGAAGTACAGAAACATTGCTCGCCTGTTCTGACATCATTCTACAAACAACTTGCAACTGGTTCTCATGCATTCTTCTCTGATGGCAATGAATGGTTTTCGGTTAATCAAGTCGTTTTCCTCCATCCCAATCTCCGCTTGGATCCTAAAATTGGAGACATTTCATTTGCTGTTTTTCAACAATGTACCAATGTTATGGACAACGTAGTTGACTTGCCAGCGGAAGTCTTCCATTCGCTTGTTCATTGTAAACAGTGGGGTGTAATAGAGAGCAAGACCTACGACATCGATCGGTTCTTTTGTGAAATTTTCTTCCCTAATATTTCAGCTGTTTCTTCAAAATTGAGAGATGTATTGGTTTTATATGCTTTGGATCAAAACAAAAGTGATTTGGACGAACTGTTGAAGAGTAATAAATGCATTCCCGTTTCACCGAGTGGGAAAATCCTCAAATTCCCAAAACAGTTAATTAATCCAACCAAACGTGCTTCTACTCTGTTTTGCCAGGAAGATGGAAGGTTTCCATGTAGCAACGATGAATTTCGAAAACCTGGTAGACTGGAAAAGTTAGAAGATCTAGGAATGCTTTCTGATGAACTTCCCTGGGAAGACATCGCAGAAAGAGCAGAAAGTATTCCGGGGTTAAATGCAGTTGACAATAAGGCAGCGGTCAAACGTGTGAGGGCGTGGCTGAAACTCGTAGAAAAGAAGCTAAAGGAAAAGGACAGGGAGAGACCAACGCATTCTGTCCTAAGTCGTCTTCTGGTGGCTCGATTTCTGCCAGTTCTTGAAAAACCGACGTCATTTCCATTGCATTGGAAGGGAAACGAATTTCACGGCAGTCGAAAGCTTCTGGCAGCGCCTAAGGACATCTTTTTGGAGGAGAAAAAGTACCAGGTATGTTGCACGGAGCCAATTGTTGGCTTAGCCATTCCAGAAAAAGTTAAAGAGCTGCTCGATTTAGAGGAAAAGGAAATAACTATACATCACGCGATGAAACAACTTGAAGTTGCCTTTTCTACGGAAATCAGCACACTGAATCGTAAAAGTTATGACGAAGTAAGCCGCGTTTGCTCTGAGGCTTATTTCTTTCTACAGGAGAAAATGGTCAGCGGTGCAACTTCTGTTGAGAAATTCTTCACTGAAAAAAGATTCATTCTTGTGGGGAAAACGTTTCTTTCTGTAAACCAAGTGGCTTTCGAAGTTAAGAATGATTGCTCCCCTTACCTACAGCGACTTCCAGATCATTTTCGCGATGAATTTGCTGATTTAATGAAGGTTGCTGGCGTGAGGGAGCATTTCGAACAAAAAGATTACATTTTTGGTCTCCAAAAAGTGAAAAGAGATTTTGGAGAGATGAAACTGGATGAAAGGGCTCTACAGGTGGCAATCAACATGGCGATTCAACTTTCCGAGACGTTACAAGGATCGAATGACGATGATTCAGAGCCACAGGAAAAGTGGGGCGCTCTTTATCTTCCTGATTTTAGAGGCATAATGCGTGATGTGCATGACCTTTGCTACAAGGACTGCCCTTGGATGCCTGATGATCCAGACGAACTGTCCGTTCATGAGAAGATTCCCTGGTCAACCTGTAAACAACTGGGTGTTAAAACACGCAGGGAGGGGGCTCTGCAACATCACGATGCTGGGTTTCCTTTTGGGCAAAAGGAAGAGCTCACAAATCGATTGAAACGAATTTTGATGGGCTACCCAGGCGAGAAAGAAATTTTGAAAGAGCTTCTTCAAAACGCTGATGATGCACAGGCAACTGAGATCTGCTTTATTAAAGACCCCAGGCACCACCCTGATGAAAAAGTGTTCAGAGAAAGTTGGAAACTGGTGCAGGGTCCTGCCTTGTGTGTGTACAACAACAAACCATTTACTACGGCGGATATCGAAGGCATTTGCAAGCTTGGCGAAGGCAGCAAGGGAGAAGATCCGAACAAAACTGGTCAATACGGTGTTGGATTTAATGCTGTCTATCACTTAACTGATGTTCCATCATTTATTTCCAAGGGTGAGGAAATTGGTGATGTTTTGTGCGTGTTCGACCCGCACTGCAAATACATTCCCGGTGCAAGTAATGCAAAGCCTGGAAGAATGTTTAAAGGTATTGAAGAGTTAAAGTCAAAGTTTCCAGATGTTTTCCCATGTTACCTCGAGGAGCATTTTCCCTTAGAAAATGCAACCATGTTCAGATTTCCCCTTAAGTCTGAGAAAATGGCGAAAGACTCACTAATATCACAAACCCCGGTTAGTATGGAGAAACTGGAGTTTATGATGAAAGACTTGAAGAAAGAGCTTTTCGAAGTTCTTCTTTTTGCGAACAATGTCAAAAAGATAGGCGTTGCATCGATAGATGAAAGTGGAAACCTCCAAAAAACCTACTCCGTTCAAGTGAGTATGTCAAATGAAGATGAAAGAGAAAGGCAAGCATTCGCTGCCTACATAAATAAGATTGGAAGAGAGACGAGAGAAAAGGCCTTTCTTCCCACGAACATAACGGCCAAACAGTGTACCTATACACTAACACTGCAAGACAACTGCGGTAAGAAGGAGAAGTGGTTAATTGTCCAACAGGTTGGCTTAGAGAAGCGCGTAAAAGACAGTATCAACGTTGCCTTTAAGGAAGGTAAGCTCGGGATGCTTCCTCGGGGTGGTGTGGCTTGCCTTTTAGATTGCAACACGGCAGATGCGAGAGGAAAAAAGAAAGCTTACTGTTTTCTTCCACTTCCATTTGAAACTGACCTGCCGGTTCACATAAATGGTCACTTTGCGTTGGACCACGAGGCCAGACGAAGTTTGTGGAGGGATGAAGCTGGAGGTTATAGGAGCGACTGGAATAATGCTTTGTTGTGCGATGTCGTTGCTTCCTGTTATCTCACCCTGCTACACAAAGTGCGTGGATTCCTCCAACTGCCATTTGTTCAAAACCGTGCAACTCGCAATGGCACTTTCAACAGAGGTGATATCTTAAAGAGATTAACTTCTTACGAAAACCTGTTTCCAGTCTCTCCCATAGAAGAACCTTACTGGAGGACGCTGGTTAATTCAGTATTCCAAGAAATAAACACTAATGGAATGCGCTTGCTTCCGTTAGTGAGACCGGTAAAGACACGATCAAGTAGCCGTGCAAAAGTTTCTGATTCTGAAAAAGTTCAAGTCACTTGGTTGCCGCCCACGGGTGCTGGCAAGGAGCAAGCCTTCTTCAATGATCTCGACATGAATGGTTGTTTTGCACCATTGCCACCAAAACGTTCTGAAGGCGAGGAAGAACAGAAAAGAAGACAAGAGTACAGAATTAGAACAAAGACCAAATTTGAAGAAACTTTGCTGGAAACTGGTTTCAATCTGCTCGCCTTCTCCTTGAAGGTTTATGATGCATTTAGCAGAGCAGGAGTGCCGGTTCGTTGTATCTCTCCTTCAGCCGTTTTAGACTTCTACAAGTCAATTTGTGATCCAGATCCGCATGGTGATATCGGTGTAATTCCATGTGATGTAAGCAACACGCCATTCAAGGATCAAGGAGGGGTGATTCGTGTCCTAAAGTATTGCAGAGATGATGAGCATTTTTTGGAAAAACTTCATGATCTCCCATTACTTCTCACCCAAGACAACGTTTTAAGACGGTTCAGCGAAAGTGATCGCCGATGTTTGAGCCAGTATGCAGACATTTTGCCATTAACCCCATCTCTTTTTGTGAACACCGCGGTTCGTAGTGAAGTATTCGGTGCCATTGATTGTGGGGAAATTTCTGTGTTCCAGCCCTTTGATGTCAACTTTTTTGCTTCACAATTAGCAAAAAATTTGCCTGAAGGTATCTATAGGCGATACTATTCCGTAAGGTGGCGTCCTGATAGCCAGGGTAACACTTTGCCTAATCACCGCTGGATTTACAGAGTATGGGAGTTTTTACGTCAATTTACTAACGATGTTATGAAGAAAACAGACGTGGAAAAGGAGAAGAAAACTATATTCATTCGAAACCTCTTGTCGCCACTCTCTGATTGGAATATTCTTCCAGCAACAGAAATAATCCAGCCAGAAATCCTCCAAAGGCAGCATCCTGTGATGCGTAGCGAACAAAAACTTTCAGATCAGATTTTGGTGCCCTTGAAGAAAGCCGAAACTGTTTTAGATTTTACTTATTGCGGTGAATCTAGCACTAGGCTGGTAGAGGCTTTGCGGAATTTGGGCTTGCCAGAGCTTAACAAATCTGTAATGCTAGCGAGGAGTGCTGATTCAGTACCTTACATCAAACCGGAGTCATATGAATTCGCACATAGTCTCGTAGCCACCCTCGAGTCGCCCCATTCTCTTATCCTAGTTCTTAAGGAGAAGCTTGAGATGGATCTTTCTTCTTTTGACGAAAAATTAACGCTCTCAGATGCTATAGGTATTCTCGAATACTTTAGCCGTAACATCGAGAGCCTGGAGACGGTTGATCAGGAAACTTTGAGGAAACTGCCATTTTATCCAACAGCAACTGGCAATCTTGCAAAGATCAAAGATAGAAACGTTTTTCTTCTTCCTGGAATCCCCAAGGACGAGATGAATGTTGTTGAATCCAGACTTCATTGTCTGTTTTTGGACCCTCTTGCCAGCTTGTCAAAAATTTTTGAGTTTTTACAACTGCAGCCTTTACCTCCGGTAGAAGTCTACTTGAAGTTTGTCTTAAAATGTTTTAAGCACCTCTCTGTCAAGGGTAAGTTGGCACATCTCCGATATCTTCGTCAACTCATTTTATTTCCAGTAGAGACAGGAAGTAAGGGTGAGGAGCGTGATAACAGAAGATTGCTTGACTGTTTAACAACAGTGGAATTCATTCCGTCAATAGGCGGTATCATGAAAACCGCATCCAACTTCTACGACCCTGACAACGAAGTTTTCCGTGCAATGCTAACCAAAGACATGTTTCCTCCAGATCCATTTGGTTGGGAAGAATGGCTGCCCTTCTTGAAGAAGATAGGTCTGGTTGAAGAAGTCTCTGAAGACCAATTTTACAGATTTGCAATCCAAGTTGCACAAGAAGCTGAAACAGCACGAACTGAGGAGACGTACAGGAGGTCTGAAGTACTGGTGCGCCACCTCTTCTCTCGACATAATGTGGTAGGGGAATTTCTTTTGAACCGTGTCTGTGACGTTCCCTTTGTTGCAGGAGGTAAAGTCAAAGAATCTCTGCGGGCACTCTGCACACCGTTTGGAGGAAAAAAGGATAGCGAAATTCCATTTATTGCATTTAAAAGTGCAGTTGTTAGTGAACATCAAGAAATCGTTTGGTCAAAAGCCTCTTTGCTACCAAATTCAGCAGATCCAAGATTTCACCGCTATGAGCTTGCACTTGGCTGTCCTCATAGAAATGTTGACCAGTATCTGAATGATCTCCTCTCCAAACTGAAAATTCTGAAGAAGCCGCCTGTTGATCTTGTGGTTAGTCACTGTGAAACAATCTGCCTCCACCTTGAAAGCAGAAACGATAAAGAAAACGCATCAAGCGAACAGTTTTCTGCGATAACGCGGGTCATGGAAAGTATATACAAATTTCTACTGGAGAACGCGATTGACGATCTTGGAGCAAAGATCACGCTTCAAACTACTCGTTGTATTTTGATTGAAAAGGGCAAGAGATTCATTATACCAAGTCAAGCAGTCCTTGATCTGTACGAAAAGGATGAGATAAGACCCTTCCTTTATGGAGTGCCGCCAGAATTTGGCAAGTTTCGAGAACTGTTTGAGTTCCTTGGATGTTCCAAGTATGCAAGACCCACCCACTACGCCATGGTCCTCGAGAGGTTGCAGAAGGGTTGTAAGGGTAGCAAACTTAACCCAAATGAAGTTCGCATATGCTCTAAGGCTGTAAAAGGGTTTTTCGATACGTTGCAGGAAGAAGAGGAGAACATCTCTTCACTTTCTAAATTGTACTTACCAGCCATGCCCCCGGGATGTGCTTCTCCAAATACGTTTCCTAGTATCATCCCTGTTACTCTCCACCAAGCAACAGATCTTATATTTGATGATTCTCCTACTTATAGCAATCGAATCCGTGGGCTTCAGAAATGTTTTGTGCTTGAACTAAGCCTGATGAATGTAAGCTGTAAATCAACGATGGTCAACTTTAAAGACCTGATGATGAAATTGCCTTTGGATGTACAGCCTAAGATGCTTTCTTCTGTGGTCAACGAAAAACTAAGCTGTCCTGAGAAAGCCGTCATAGTGACAGATGGTACTGTGAACCAACTGAAACGTCAACTTTCGACTGTGCAGTTTGGTCGTGGAATTGCTAGGATAATTAGAGATGTGAATTCTCATAAAAAGGATTTTAACGAAAGTGTCATTGCAGGCATCGAAAAAGGTCTACGAAGCATTGATCTCTGTGCTGTAAAATTTCTGGAAACATCCCTTTTTTACAATGGAGGTCTGATTCCGGGAAGTACGGCTGAGGTTCCCTCTTTCGAGGAAAAACTGGTGTTGTCTGACCAAGAGATACGAAGAGTATACATTAACACCAAATCTGGAATCGATGACCCCTTGTCCACGGCATCTTTGGTTACTAACGTAATCGTCGAAATGTACGGGGAGTCTCTAGGAAAGAAGGCATTTGTCATTTCTGATATGTTGCGTTATCCTCCTTCAAAAATTTGGTCACTCCTAGACAGAATGGGGATTCGAAAAGATGACAGCTATGTGGCAGCGGAAATGGATATCTATCCCGAACCAGGAACCCTGATTCCAATCGAGGACCATCATTTGCTTAATGACGCATTCGAATTATTTGAGCCTGACGAATACGTAGGCTGCCAGCTGGACGACCCTGGTCTGCTCCTCAATTCCACGTTCATCTACGCAATTATCATCGACGAGGTAAGTAATGAGGACGCAGATCTCCTGACGAAGAAGTACAAAATCAACACTGGACACGACAAAGAACCAGCAGTAGTTAAATCTAACAAACTGTATAAATTCCACTGCTTAAATGACATATTTGAACAGCAACTAAATTGTTGCCAAAACAGACAAGAGGTCCTAAATGAGGTCACTGATCTACTAAAGAAATCATGGGAACTGCCACAAGAGGAAAAGCTCCAAATTATCAAGCGTCTTTGTCTACGGTGGCATCCAGAGAAGAATTTAGGCAATGAGGAATTCTACAGAGCAGTTCTCCAGCACATTAAGAAGGAGGTTTCACGGCTTGGAGGTTCTTACGACGACTTGTTTGCTTTTTGTGAAGCACGTGCAAGGGAACATGGCTCACAGCGAAAAGGATACAGAGAACGGTTTTCTGAGAGGTTCGGTTCCTGGGGGTCCTCACCTAGTCACAGATCAAAGAAAAGTGTTCCTCCAAGCCTTTGCGAAAGGAATCCCCAACCTGAAGAAGCCAAGCGATGGTTTAGACAAGCTGAAGCTGACCTCGAGGCTGGTGCAAATGAACTTGCCTTTACCAGCCCTTCCTTTGAGTGGGCATGCTTTAAATGCCATCAGGTAAGAATGAGTCCGTGACCTATATTTCCAAGTTGATGTATACCTTCAGTTTGTAAGTAGCGAAAGAAACTGAAGGCACTGCGCTAGGAGTAATTATTATGGGCTAAGCATTTGAATCCGCACTTTGGCCTTTTCCTGCCTTTCGTATTCATTGTAACAATTGGATCGGCTAATTAAAATTCATGAATGATAAGACAGTTGGTTTTCCTTAATAAAGATAATAAGTACCTTTTCCGCACAAATGAAGGGATTTTTCTTTACCAATAGGCAGCTTCCTGCTGCATGTCCAATAGGTGTATACTCGTTTCTTTTCACGTGTTTATAACTGTCCTCGTCCCCCAACAGTGCTTAGTTACCTGTAGCAAACGAAACAATAGACCTGTCTATAGTAGCCCGTTTATAAGTACCGCAGGTTAAAAGCAAAAAAAAAAAGCTAGGGAAATGATTTTCTGTATGAGACCACAGTTTAGCTGGAAGAGAGGTAATGTGATCATTCGATAAGCTATATGATTCTAAAATTTTCCTTTCTTTGTACTCTTTTCTTGCATTTCTTTACGTAGGTGTACATGTCTTGGCTTAATGAAACAAAACACAAGATATAGTTTTGAAACGGAGTTTTATTGAAACCTGAGAAACACGAAATGGATAGCAGAAATTAGTATACCTCACATATTATAAGCATGCACCTAGGCTTCACATTGTAGAATGGTTTTTTCACAAACAAACGATTGGGCAAGGCTTTTCGCTTATTACTTATGGCTAGCTCTGTCGATTCTTGCCAATCAAATTGTTTAGGGAAGGTATAATCACTCTTCATTGCTCGCTTTGACTTACGATACTCACATTTTTGGTTAGAACTGCACAAGGTTTGACAGTAAAGTAAACAACAGTAAGTGGTGGGCTTGTTTTAAAAATATATATTGAGAGAGGCGGGGTAACCAAGCATCCACGTCTGAAAATAATTATCGACCTCGAATCGGCCTGTCATTGGCCATACATCGTCACTACATCGACCCCACATCGCATAACGATTTATGATATTTGCGCGACATCAATTTTGAATGTCGAAGCTACACAAGCAGGAACATAACCCATTTTTCAGCCTGTTGAAGGTTTTTATGTGGTAAAGATACCGTACAGATTATTTGCGTCAAGTACATAGATTAAAAAGCCTGGAAGGAAAACAGCTCCTTAAAGCCGCAGTATTTTGTAGTTTCGGGTTGAAAGAGATGTTTTGTTGTAACTCATTGAATCCATATGACAAGTTATTTAGTTGTTCGAGAAGTGAGAGGACATTTCAGTAAATTTATTAGCCGGTGATCAAATTGGCCTGGAAAACTGCGCCGTTGCTTAAATTTACAATCAATAAGTTGAATTTTAAGAGTAAATTTATGTTCCTCTAGGCAGCAGAGAAGGCCCTAAAGGCAGCTCAGTATGGTGTAGACGCAGACAAAATTTATGTCCACAATCTGGTTAGAAACTGCCACAATTTGGGAGACCCTCAGTTGACTGAGTTAGCGGACAAGCTGGAGAGCCTTGTGGGTAACTCAACACGCATGCGCTATCCAGACAGAATGGCCTATCCCAAGATACCGAAGGACGTGTACAATGAAGAGAAAGCAACGAAAGCTTATGAAATAGCTAATAAAATCGTTAGGAAGGTGGGAAACAGACTCACCTCAGGTATGAAACTTTCCTGAGTAACCCTTAAAACTATAAATGTGACTTAAACGTTGTGTTAAAATTTTCATTTCTGCAAGAAGCAACAGAACTGTAGTTGTATAGACATATGTTGTGTTCACAAAATGCTGAGAATGTTATTCCCTTTGCCTACATTACACACGGCTTTGTTGCATACCTTAAAAGTAAAACTAAAGGGTCCTCATTTAACGGGTCCTTATCTGTTGACCAAACCCCGAAAACGACGGTGCGCTCACCTTGCTCAGTCCTCCGTTAAATGGGCATTTAAAACAGCTTTAAACTATTTGGAAAGGAAAGAAGTCGAATAAGGGACAGGAGGTCACCCATGGGAATCGGACTCAGAATCTTTCATTCAGATGGCCATGCCCTAACCAACGCTGCCAGCACTTGCTTCTTCGTCAATCGCTGGGTGTCCTAAGACGTAACTCCAGCTCTCGTTAGCTTTCAATACATTTACTATATCCCACGACATTTTCCACGGTCTCATAGAACATAAATTTCGACCAATGAGAACATGAGAAATCGTTTAGTTATTGCAAAAAAAAATATAAAAAGATGTCTAGGGAATGTTGTAAGTGATTGAATCACAATCCTGGACAAGAGTGAATGGCAGAAAATGTTGTGGATACCTGGTTCAATTCAACGTTGTATGCGGGGTGGGTGTAGGAAATGGGAGCCGCAAATGTATGGACTTTTGTTCATAATGGTCTGAAATAAAGTCGAAAAGAAAAACGCCAAAACGCCCCTTTCTCAGAACTGTATAGAGGTGTTTTTCCTCGCTCCTGATGAAAGATCGTCATACGCAATTCAGGCAATCTTGTAGACAAAATTCCTTGGGACAGACATGCAATATTGGTAATTATATCTACGTTTTAGCATGCTCTCTTGAAGCAGCGTTCCTTTTTTCTACAAATGCCTGACAATTCTTCCTCCCCCGCCCTATACAATGCTGAAAGGCACTTTGTGGCACTTTGGTCCATGATTATAGGATGGTTAAAAAATATTACAACATACTATCAACACATACCGGCCTGGCTTATAAATGCTTCGTCACTTGGCAACGGTTACAAGTAGGTAAATGTGGAGAGATGTTGTCAGTCTTTTGCGGGTTGGGTTTGTGGACCTCTTAGTTACTTGTGTTAGTGGATCGGTAACCCCAGACAACTAGCTTTATATAATGACATTTTTGTAGGAAAATAACAACATCTAAATCTTGCTGCTTTATCCAAGACAAAATTAAACATTAATCACTAATAAGACAGCAACACAAGTCACTTTTGTCTTTACTGTCCTCTAATTACTGTTTTATATATAATTTACATGTAATGAAGCTAGTCAAAAGGGACTGCAACTGTTTCTTTCATTTCGTCTTCGACAACGCAACAGAGGCCAACACTGTAACATTCCTTCTGCCCATTTCAGATTTTTTACTTATTGCACTTTTTCAAGAGGTTACTACCAAAAAATTACAATAAATTACAAAAGTAAGAGAAATTAAAACAACATTAAATTACTAAAATCATCAAAGGTGAAATGGAGCTTAGGCTTTCGAGTTGGTCGCTACCACGTGCAACTAATTGGTGTAGACATTTAAATAACGTATAACAGAGACAGTAAAAATATAAGTGCATATATACTTACAATTTTATATAAAACTATAGAATAGAATAGTCTACAAATTGCACTTGTTTTAATTTAGGCTGAAATTTGTGTTTGTTACAACCTAACCTTTTAATTTTATCCCTTGTTTCTTTAGACAAAGAAGAGAAAATTTAAAAGGACCGAGGCCATTTTTAGACATTTAGCTGATTCTGCCCCGTCGTCTCTCAGTCTCTTACCAACAAGAGAATTAATGGGAGCGCGAGGGATTGTGGGAAGAAAGAATGTTTTTGAGCTGATACGTACGGAAAAGTAACTTGATTAGGAATCATGTTTATACTTTGTTAACTTAGTTCCCCATTATTACAAACAACATATTAAGCTTCTGATGCACTTTCCGATCGGCAAGCCTATAATCGAAAGGCAAAATTACGTTCAATAATCTTGAAACTATTGTTTCATATATTTGCTTTTATCTGGGATTTCCATTTTAAAATGGGAGAAAGTATCAGTTATCAAACGCGCGACATTGCTTGGTTGCAAAAATGTAAATGAGACATACAGTCTCTGTGAAATTTCGAGGAATTTGAAAACAAATTCTCCGAAACCATTCAGATCTCAGGATAACTTTTTAGAGATTACTAACCTAACAATAACCAGGGATTGTGTTTTACAGTGCGACCGGGAAAGCTTGAAATATTTCAGGAATGTTTATTGTGTTATGACCAATCACAGCAAAGATCAGGATATGTGAACTGGCCACAAAACTACAAACTAATTAACGGTCATGCTTACGGTTTAGCTTTCTCGTGATTGATTGGCTTTTCTATTGCATGACAATAACATTCCAGAATATTTCTTATGTTCACGGTTTTCCCGGTTTGACAGTAATTTCTTGATAAGAAAATGCACATTTTACAGTGCGACTACTTTAAACGGCGCCACCTAGACAAAGTTAACCAGTCGGATTACGGGATAGTAACAATATATTCCGAGAAGTCAATCATAATTACCACGAAATGAAATAAACTAAATGGATCGAAATCAACCAATTACAACGAACAGGCATGACCTTTTAAGCCCGCAAAAGAAAGCAGGTGTTTTCCGAGAGGTCCGCTAGATCGAGTGACTGAAGCAAAAGACTTCAGCGATAGTTATATTTTTGACTTTCGGCAGCATGTTATCGCAAAGTGCGGCAATAGTAGCGAAAGGAATAGCTGGTACAATGTAAATGACAAAATAACAGCTCGTGTCAAAGAAATATGTCTCCTGGGTGTTGTATGCAAAGTTTCGAGTAGAAAAACATTGTCTGGTGAAACATTTTGCTTTCATGAAAAACGTTTGCTATCAATATTGCCTTTTTTTTCACGAGCTGCTGATGACTGACTGAGAACTAACTTTCTTGGAATGTATTCTTATTTTCCTATTATCCGATTGGTCAACATTCTCTAAGTGGCCTATGTTATAGTAGTCGCATCGTAATAGTGCGAAAGTTAAACGAAGATTCGTCTACAGATTCAGTCGACATCCCTTTTTTATCTTTGGGTTCATTTTCTTGCTTCTCGGTACATCGGTTTTATCGCATGTACGAAACGTCATTTTGACGAGGAAAGTTAGAATATCCACGATCATTTAAAAGGGACAAACCGTATTGTAATCGTTTTAATAGATTTTCCTGATTGAACATTACAAGCAGAGTAGTAGACCGTGATCGCTACCAAAGGTTAAACTAAGTTGTGAGAGAAGGACCTTTCTTTTTAGTGGCGCGAAAATTTTAATGAAGACATAACTTAACATAGCAAATGCTAAAGGGCATACAGGTTTTATGCCGTCGAACAAGACAGTTTTTTCTTATCGTAATTGTTAATAACGTTTTTCATGAAATTTGATACTTTTTAAGTTTCTTTTTTTGTATTTTATTGGTTTTTAGGGTTTCTTATACATTGTATGTTGTTTTAAATTATGTCATAGTACTTAATTTCATGCTTCAAAAATATGATTTTAAAATCTTAATGTAAAGTAGTTTTTAAGATGCGGGCCCTGGGCCCTGTTAAAATAAAGTTTTAGTTTATTACAATGCATTTTGAGTATGTTTGATTTCGGACAGTTGGAGCCTTTTAAAAAGTGATCTCTTAGAAGAAGAGCCATAGGTTGAATCTTCAGCAATTTTGATTTTTCTCAGGCGGAATGTAAATCAACTTAAAATGTTATCAAAATGTTTTGAATTGGGGTACAATCCTTTTCTTGTCTTCCCTCTTTGATTTATAGTAAGGAGTTACGTTAATTTTTAGCATCGACGAAGACGACGGCAGCGAAAATGTCACTTTGCTTCAGTTCTACTTCTCTTTTAGACAGGTGGAATGGAGGAAAAAGAACTAATTCGTACTTCGCACTATCTATTACCCATAAACTTGTAGAAAACAAAGCTAATAATATAAAGCATAAGGCAAATTTTAAAAACAAAAATGGTCTTTTGAAACGGTTTATCACAACACAGACTAAGACTGTAAAGCTTAGCTTTTCTAAACTTATCGAACTGACCTAGATAAAGGCTTCCCTAATTTGAAGCTCGGGATTCGGGGTTTTTAAGCAAAATCCGGCAAGCTTCGGAATTGAAAGTATACGTGCGAGTTAGAACGCCCGAAATAACCCTCGGGATTACGGGATGGCACAAACTTTTGAGTCGGAAATACGGGATTGAAGAACCCTATTGGGACCCTCGGCTTATACTGCAGCAGGCTGAGCTGTTTTAGGAGGAAACTGTTTGAGATGTGATAATTGTGTTAACTTTAATCCCTTGTTTTCATGGCAAGTTTAATTCAGTTCCACTTTCCTTTCAGTCAGTTGTAATAATTTCCAAAGAACTAATTCTTAATTCGCTATAACGCTTAAAGGTGTTTGCGAGCATATCCGCCTATACGCTTCAATTGCACGGTCAGTGGGTGTTCTCGAAAACTCAGACCTCAAAGACTGAGAGGTCAATTAGTTTTAAAAAAGACAGTTTATCTTCATTGCAATTTGACTTTTTTTTTTGAACCACTGATCAACTGTAGATCTTTTCCTCGGATGAGATTGGAATTTTTCTGAGAAATCGTTGCATGCTTGAAACAGTTCGAAGTCTACTTCATGAAACTGAGATCCTTCAGAGGAAAATTGAATTTCGGGAAATGATCTTTTTTAGGACATGCTCTAAAACGAGCCGAAGTTTTATATGCAAGGAGTGTATGAGAAACTATTGTTTTATCTCTTAAATTTTTAAACAACCTGGGAGAAGAGGTTTTGAAATACAACACATTATTTTGTTTCCTCATCTGGAAACTATCCTTGCTATAGTTCTTTTAAAGAACTCTCCCAATGTTTTGAAAGCTACTTTGCCAATTCACTTTGGAATTTTTATATTACAGACGGTCGTGTTTCCAGGAAAACACGCACACAACTTCCGAGAAACGTGAAGAGGAAAATCCTAGAGTCGGATTCCTAGTGCTGTGTTCCTTATTCCAAGGCCCTGGATTCCGGATTCCACATGAAACAATTTCCCGGATTCCGGAATCCGGATTCCCTTACATCGGGCGATTCTTAAGAATTCTCCAAGTGCTTTGAAAGCAAATTTCAGTGCCACTTTACCAATCCACTTTGGTAATTTTATAATATTACAGACCGTAGTGTCTCCAGGAAAGCACCCAAACAATTTCCGAGAAAAGTGAAGGGGAAAATCATAAAAAGAGTTATATTGAAAAATGTACATTGAAAGGGGTCCCGTCTTTAAATTTAAACATATCATCTTACTGAAAGTGCAACCCTTCCATACATATATGCCGTCCTGACTGGAACAATATTGTACCTGAGAAACCAGTTAAGATAATTATATTAATCTCGCCCCGTTCGAGTGCTTTTCGGATACATCACCGAAAATACATTGGCCGAGAAGGCCTGGGAAGTTCCAGTGCTGCTTCAACAGATCGATTCCGAGAAATCTGCTCACGTGGCGTCTGCCATTATCCAAGAGCATATTCTGGGAAAGATTCATTTCCAATAGATTGTGGACAGGGAATGGTTTACTTCTCTGTTTCCGTGAACCAGCGAAAGCGGAGTTAATCAAAAAAGGTATGTCACACATATTCTAAAGCTGAAAACAGGCAAAATTTAGTCTTGGTTGGTGGAATTCAAAGCCCTGAATCCAAGTGTTTCAGCGCCTCCTGTAACTGATTAATATTCACCTTTTTCCGAGAAACCTGTTCGCGGAACGACTGTAAGGGACTTTAAGATCCAACGACGTGGACGACAACGAGAACGTCAAAAAAGAAGCAACAACTACGTACACCACACTTTTTGACATTTCTCTGCCCGTTTAAGCACGACTACGACGTGAAAATGCCTAATTTTGCGTTTCGTGGAGGACGTAAACAAGTAACGACGAAATTTTACTTCTGTTTCTGAGCTTGAATATGTTCCCTTGAAATTCAGCTTCAGGAGGGTTCGCCTACAATTGACAAAGTAAGTAGGTAGGAATAATCGCTATAAAGAGAGAGAGAACGCAAATTCACTTTTTTAGCGACGTTCTGGTCGCCGTCGCTTCGTTGGATCTCAAAGTCCCTAAATCATTCAAGCGAACACAAAAAAGTATCGTGTATCGAATGCATGGACGAGTAAAACGGGCAAAATATTGGAAATTTCTTGATTAAGACCTAAAATTTGGAGATGTTAAGATAGACCCCTCCCGAAATAGCAAGTCCTAGGCAAAAATGATATGTAAAATGCGTTTTTTATGCGGACGGATCATACAGCAGAAAGGACCTCAGAAAGGGATTTAATGGGCGAGTATAATGATCGATCTACCGAGCAGCTACTGAAACACTTCCTCTTTTCCGAGAAACAAGTTACGATATGTTTAAGTGTCGTCTGTTACTTTTTTTAGCTTGTGAATTTATTAAGGAAGTGGCAATCGAAAGAACGAGATTTTAAGATCTATTAAGAAATTTTACAGTGAACGGGATGTTTTTAGGAGCGGATGGTAGGTTTTTCCGCGAATAGGTACAAATGATATGTTTTTAAAAGGTTTTGGCTATACTTGACAGCAGTGCACTGTGAAAAATAAAAAGGAAAGGAAACTTTGTTTGCACTTGAGGGGTTGGCGTTGTTGTTTGGCCGACTTCCGTCTTGCGGAAATTGACATCTGCTCGCATAAAAGTTACTACAGTGTACGAGTTCAATGCATGGCTACATGTCAAGGAAATAGTTCGTATTCTAACAAAAATCGTCGAAATATTTATTCAGAAATTATTTTCACAAGTGGTGGTGAGGTTTCTAGATAATTCCGTAGATTAAAGTGTTTATTTCATTATTCATCCGATTCGCTTGGGTTCTTTTCCAAAACTAAAGCATCTTAAACACAGTATTTCGTGCAAAAGTTTATATTCAGTGTAACCTTAAGCCTTTGCCTTTTACTATCCTTTAATCCTCATTATCGAGTTTCTGAATTTCGAAAATTTCTACAGGCAAACTCTGGCTCAGGCGCCGAGGTATTCAAGCCAGACAAAACAAAGTGAAATGCAAACTATAAGTTAGAAAAATTCAGAGGAAATAACCTTTAAAAAAGAGCCACGAGAATTGCTATCTACTAATTATATCCTATTTTTATTGGTTTGCTTTATACTGAGTCTTTGTGCAATGATTAATATCTAGTTGGTGTTTAGCAGCACTTCTTGACTACAGGGAATTTACTTAATTTTATTCACTCCTAGTTAGTTTTCTCGCATTAATTATAATGGTCGGTTACTTAAACCAAGTCTAATTTACACCGCTGTTTAAGACATTTTTGAACCTTCAGATCTCCCCCTCAGTGTGTCAATTTAACAGGATAAACGGCTTTTCTACTCTATACGCCTTAATGAAACTGTTCAGCAAAAACGGCTTTTAGATAAAACCCTTGCATATTTGTGCAAGCTGAAAATGACTTAGAACGCGGTTTTGTTAAACACTGGTTAAACTCCGTTTAAATAACCGGTCCAATGAGTTTCTTTGCAATTAGCGCCCAGCATATTTGATTAAATCTCAAATTTTGTCCTGTAGTTTTCTTCATTCTCGCCATAATTTTCATTTTGGTTTCAAATGCTGAGAAACTGGGATTAGAGTTCCCACCTGCCAGAAAATATAAAGATTTGAAAAAGTATCGTCCTTAATTCTCTTTCCTTCCTTCTCAGTCTTTGTCCTTGCCTGCCTCCTACTTTTCTTTCTTCTTTGCTTCCTTGTTTCCATCCTACTTCCCACTCCCCTCCTACTCCCTCTCTTTCTTATTTCCTTCCTGCTCGTTCCCTTCTCTGGCTGCCTCTCATTTTATCGTTCCCACCTTCCTGGCCCAATTCCTCCTTACCTTCCTCCCTTCATCTCCTCTTTCGTTTCTCCTTCTTCTCTTCTTTCCTATCTTCTTACTTTCCTACCTTTCTTCCTCCCACCCTCTCTCCCCTCTTTCCCTCCTTTATTCCATCCTCTCCTCCTTCCTTTTAAACGTCCTTCCATTCCTTCCTCCCTTCCCTTTTTTTTAATCTTTCTTTTCTTGGAATCGTTGACTTGTAACTAATTGCTTTTTTTTTGCAGACCAGGGATATCGATATGTTCATGTGACGTGAGCATGATGAGTGAACAGCGTAAGTAAGATTGCTTCTACAAGATAAGTTGTCTTATGTTTTGACTCTGATATAACTTGAAACGCCGCCACTGATTCTCGAACGTTTTTTGCTTGTTTGGTGGTTGTAGAGGATGATGATGATTTTAACGTGATTCAGCCAACCCTCCTGCAACAGTTAAAAACCATACTAGATCAATATCCTGATGATGGGCAGATACTGAAGGTAATCTTTATGTAGTTAAAAGTCTTGAAACAGATCTGTCTCAACAAATCTATTCCTTTTGCCACGTATTTGTCTACTCAGTCGTTCTGATCTCATGCCATGCGCACATTTCAGTTTTTTGTCACTCCCCGTTTTTAAGGAAGGGGGGGAAATCCGGTACCCACCTCCCCTCCCACCCCATTTATGTTTGCCGTTCAGGCCACGCAAACACACGGCCGGAAAATATGATCTCCAATCCGGTATTTTTGCTTTCTTAGTTAAGTAGTTTTTAGCATCATCCCATTTGACACTGTTTAGGGTCTGCTTATAGTTGTCTATATTTGTTTTTGTTTTTTTTTTTGTTTCTTTTTTTGGAAGGAACTCATCCAAAATGCAGAGGATGCGGGTGCAAGTCAAGTGAAATTTCTGCATGACAAACACAGTTATGGAAAGGAAAAGCTACACAGTCAAAAACTTGCCACCTTTCAGGTGAATTTTGTCAAAGAGGTAGCTAGGAATGAACAATGCAGGGTTACCAATTCTCTGTATAGAGATAAGCATCTTGGGTATTTACGTTTTCTCGTGAATGGCTCGTCACGAACCAAGTCGATCGGGAGATATTCATAAGCAGGAGAAAGTTTAAAAGTTGCAACACACATTATTAGACCTTTCCACGGTTTTCACAAGTTTTTATACATACTAGTTAGCGAATGACGACTGACACTTCTGAAAACAGCGCCTCAAAATAATGAAACTTGCCAATTTTCAAGCAGCTACGTTAAAAGCAAGCGAAGGTATTTCTCCAAAACGTCAAGAAATTATACAGACGTTTGTATCATCATCCATCTTCCTACCCATCCATCCATCAATCCATCCATCCGATGGGCAATACAAAAAAAAGGCAAAATAAAACAGAATAGAAATTTAGGTGCATTCTTAGCCGGACAAATCAAGATGTTGCGCGCAAATTCTTTTATACATACTTTAGAGTGTCGTTACAAGACTGGATACTGGTCAGCCCAGAGTTCTATTCTCTTAATGGACAACATTGAGGGTCTTAAAATGACTGCAGGGTCTTAAGGTCTGACATCTGAAAATTGTTTGCCTTTCTTTTCTTCTGGGATGACGACAAAAAAACGAAAGGATCCGTTTCACAACACAGCTCAACGCGTTCAGTCTGTCCGAGTCCAACCCTAGCCCTAAAGACATCCGACCCGACAGTGTTCGTTAACGGGTTGGGTACGGAAGCACCTCGTGTGGGCAGTTAACGTTAACGCCTATCCCAACTGGGCAGGTCTGTGTCCAGTTAAGGTACCTTTGTAGAAATCTTGTTAGTATCTTTAGTTCAAACTTGTAACTGCTTCGTAACAGGGTCCAGCGCTTTATGCGTACAATAACGCCGAGTTTACCAAAAGCGACTGGAGGGGCATCAGGATGCTCTGTGACAGTAACAAAGTGAAAGATCCCATGAAAGTTGGTCGGTTTGGCCTTGGTTTCAAGTCAGTATTTCACATGACAGGTAGGTATATCGCATATATAGGACATACAATTAGCACCATTTATATCTGTGATCGTCTGTATCAAGTGTTATATTCCGCGTTTGTTTGTTCAGCTTTTTATTTTTAGAATTATTGGCCATGCAAAGAATTAGAAATATGATTTATTTTTTTATTACCCGAAAACAGGCTAATTTTGATAATCGCCCACAACAAGAATAGAAACATAATAAAAATCCAAAACAGCTGAAACATTTCAACGACTTAAGGCAAACTAATTGGCTATCTGTTACAAAGGATACCTTAACTCATTATATCTGATTATATGACCTTGCATGGCTGTTTCCAAACGCGTGAAAGATTAAGTAAATCCTGTGTTGTTATTTTCATAGCGCTTCTTTTGCCCGTTAGGGGTTTTCCGCTTAGGACCTGCCAAAAATAGTTCTCTTGAGAAGATAATAAATCCATCACTCCATCACTCGCCAGATATGTTCGGTCAAGATGGCTTGACGTAGCCTCGTGCTTATTTCTTGCCTTTTTATTGGCCTTAACTTCACGAAAAGTTATCTGCCAATATTCAGCAGTCATGTGGACGTCACGTTTGGTCAATAACGCATATATCTGAAGCATGTTTCCTTGGCTTTTAGATTTACCGAGTATCCTCAGCAACACACGGATAGGTTTCATTGATCCGCTGGAGCACTTGAGTGATGACGAATATCGAATAACGGGGTTCAGCTGGCTTTTAAAGGAGCAGGAAAAGATTGAACATATACAAGATCAGTTTCGTCCTTACAAAGAAATATTTGATTGTAACGATAAAGTCTTTTCTGATGGAAAGTACGGTGGGACATTGTTCCGTTTCCCTTTACGACAAACTCCATCCAAATTATCAGAGACATTGTACTCGGAGGAAAAAATTGACAGGTTGTTTGACAGTTTCTTTGCCGATGCTCACCTTGTGCTTTTGTTTCTTCGAAATCTGGAATCCATTGAGCTTTACACACGAGAGATTTCAGAATTCATGCCAAAAAGAATCTTTCAAGCGAAAATCACTGAAGATAGCCTTGAGTTAGTTAGGAAGAAGAGGAAGGAGTTCTTTGACAAAATCGAACTAGGTAAACACATGCTTGAGCCTGTCACAGTGACGTATCCAGTCACAATTGAGAAGGTGATTATGGGCATTGAAAACAACATTCAACAATTTTCCTTCCTTGTCACCAGCTACTGCTGCGGTGGCGACGTCTCATCCGAATTTGAGAGGCTCCTGACAGATGAAGAACTTAGCTATTTACCCTCCGTTGACGTTGCTATGGGGGTTCCCTCGACAGAAAACCTGCCAACGCCTGATGTTGCTGGTCACGTGTTTTGCGCTTTGCCCTTGCCTGTGCAAAAGAAGAGTATGACAGGTTTGCCTGTTCATGTAAATGGATTTTTCGCCCTCACTCAGAACAGACGCCACATCAAAACCCCAAACAAAGATCAAGATGACCGAAGCAAACTTACCGACAAGTCCTTATTGTGGAATTGTTGTTTGATGGAAGAAGCTCTTCCAAAAGCTTATGTCACGATGATTAAGGAAGCCATAATCAACTTCAACATGAATCCAGATGCAGTGTACAAGTAAGGTTATATTTTTTACACTTTTAGTGGAAAGTTTCGTTCCAAACGCACCATCTCACCAAGGTCTTTCTTATCGTTCTTCTTTTTTTCACATTATCAGTCGCCGTGTTTATTAGCGTGGCCTGTGTATTAATTAACGCTAGGACCTCATTTATTTCGGGGTAATTAATTGTTATAGGAATTCTTTAACTTGCTCTTTTGTGCCTGGTATTAGGTAGAACGGTTGGTTTCTAATAAACCAAATAACACAAAAATTTTGTTTTATTAGGCTAGTTGACAAAGTTAATGGCTGGCTTTTCCAGCGCTGGCACTTCGTCAGAGTCAAATTAAGGGATTGAGGTTTGAATGTGTCTATATATCGAATGGTAAAGCTACTCTCTCAACTGGAAAACGATAAGAAAAACGGTGATTGGAATTTAAGGCGTTTTGATTGATTAAACGTAGACGTCATAAAGAAATCTCGTCACCGCTTAAATTAGTGGTCGTAAAGGTTTTACCCTCTTACAAACGACACTTTTATATCATTTGTCTTTTAGAGCATGGCCAGATAAGGAAGTTATTGATCCGGCTTGGGAAAGGCTTCAGAAACCGTTTTTACAGCTGTTGCGTGGTGAAAGCTTCGTATACTCTCCAGTAAGTGGAGGTCAGTGGCTTAAGGCGGAGGAGGCCATTTTTGACACCCTCGACAAAAATGACAGCGAACTTAAGCAGCTGCTCGTTACAGTTTTACTTCAAGCCAATCAAAATGTCGCGTGCCTGCCCGATCATGTACTGGAGACTGTAACTGTCACGCGGGAGATCACTCCCTCGCTGGTGCAAAATGTGCTGAAAGAATTCCCAACTTGCTATAGGAGCCTTGATCAAACGCAAAAGTTGTTGCTCTTGAAATTTGTGCTGAATGGCCAATTTGAAGAACTCCTTGGTTTGGAGTTACTGCCTAATGCCAAAAGAGGTTTTTCGTCATTTTCAAAGAAGGGAGAAGCTATTTTCATTTGCTCACGTAAGCCTCCTCAGGAAATTAACCTTCTACCAGGCCTAGAACATCGATTTTTAGACCACGACATTGATGAGCACCTCTTTAAAAGCCTAGAAGCAGTTGAAAAGCAAGGTATGTTTATAACTAAGTTGCCTGTATTAGCGTAGGCAATTGAGAGGATTAATGTCTGTAGAAAGCTAATACAAATTGGGAATAAGGTGCTCCAAGGATATGAATAAATATTACACCCTAGTACATAAAATGTTCAATATTTCACTTCATTTTACATTAAAACTAACCTTTCACCGTGGTTATTGGAGAAAAATTTGCAAACGCTAAGCCAAATAAATCGAAGTTATAAGGCTTTTAACTTAATTTACATTTTGATTTCTTCTCTATTGTAAGTTAAAAACGGAAACTGTTGTTATTTTGGGCTCTAAATGCCAAAATAATTTTACTTGAGCGCGAAGTTCATTATTTGGAGAATGATGAAAAGATGCCTACATTAACGTATTATTTTGTACATCATTCCCCGAGCAATCACAAAAACAAGTGCGCACGTCTCACACATGTGACCTCATTGGAAACTAGCTCTAGTTTGAGAGATCTAAATTTCGAAAACTAATAATAAACAAAAGCAGAGAGCCCTTTTATTAAGGCGATACAAGATTGTTTTAGATTTTAAGCTGTTTCCTTGGCGTACAGCCTCCATTGGGAGAAGTTCCAAATGCAAGGAAAGATTCCTGTATTGAGGGTTAGACCCCTTATTTACACTATATGTTAACAGCAAAATGTGAGTCTGTCGTGTTTAATTCTTATGTAGGGTGTACGCAGTTACAACGTTTTTGTAAAGATCATATTCCGGCCCTACTGCGCGAGACCCTGCCATCTAAGTGGGTAAATAGCAACGTTGTCGAATGGTACCCAGATGATGAGAACTACAATCATCCCACGGAAAACTGGCTCAAGAGCGTGTGGGACTACCTACGGGAATATTTTGAAAGGGATCTCTACAAACTTACAAACCTTCCCTTAATTCCGCTTGACCTCTCGCAACGCCCTATAAAATTAACAAAGATGGCAACCCCGTCTAAAGTTGTTACAAGTAAGCTAAGTGAAAGTGAAGATCTCCTGGACAGTTCCTTGTGTGATGTACTCAAAGCTTTGGGTGTGATGGTCATGAATGAATCCCCGCATTTTCTAAAAGGCCATCCCGGAATAGAGAAATTTGTCCACCCACCATCTGTCAAAGGTGTTTTGCAAGCTATGCTGTCTTCTTCCAGCGTAATGGGGATAGGCATGCACTCCGCTATTCTAAGCAAGGTTCAAGATGATGGCAGACGTTCCCTAAGAAAATTGATCGCTAAAGTGTCTTCCCTTTCCTCAAAGGAAAAAGAATATCTTTCCTGTCTTCCAGTTTTCGAGAAACTATCTCAAGAGTTCGTGTCGAAAAAGCAGGTTCTAGGTGCAGCACCAAGAGAACCTCTTCCAGTGACACCTCGCGGTGACTTTATTGACGTTAAAGAAGACGACTCTCTTGCTGTGGTCCGCTTGCTAGGCGTCCGAATACCGACACTTATCGAATTTTTATGCAATAGAATACTTCCAGATGTCAACAGAGGACACTATTCAGCGGAAGAGATTGATAAGCTAATGTTTTCTGTGTTGGGCCATATTGACACGGACACCAGATTAGAAGAGGAGATGAAAGCTTTAAAATTTGTCCCAACCAACAGTGGACGTCGGTTTCAGGCTAGAGAACTCTTCCATCCAAGAAAGGACCAATTGATGGACATTTTTGCGAACGAAGATGTTTTTCCCGTGTTGCAGTATGCTAATCCTGAAGTCCTCAGACATCTGGAGAAACTTGGCCTGAAAGGTGAGGAAGGTATCACAGCTAAAGACCTCTACAGAAGTGCTATGAACATCGCTGACACAACAGCACTGGAAAAGGCGGAGAAAAAGTCGACAGCAATTCTGAGTTATTTGCACATGAATCCGAATAAACTTCAGGACGACGTTTTTGGAATGTCGTTGGGATTACAGCTTCAAGATGCTCCTTGGATATCACCAGTGCGAGTAAAGCCCCATGATTTTCCTAGTAGCCTTCCTTTCTACGGAAAAAATGAAACAAAACCTTATTTCTTCAAGCCTACGGAGGTAGAGACAGAAGATAGAGCGTCCATAATTGGAGCAATAAGGCCTATTGTTCCAATTCATTCATCAAGTGATTTAGCGAAACATTTTGGTTGGGACAAGAGTCCTTGTGCACTGGACGTTGTGAAGCATTTTGAAATTGTGGTCGATAGTTACTGCAAAGATGATAAGCCACATTACATGTTAATGGTGGAAGAAATCTACTCTTTCTTACTTGGGACAGATGACACTGGCGTGGAACAAGCCTTGGAGAGAATTAAAAGCTCGAAATGGATTTGGAATGGAGACGGCTTTTCCTTTCCCAATGCTGTACTTGCGGGAAAGCCTTCTATTGACCTCTCGCCTTACATTGCATCCCTTCCTACAGAGATGAATGGCTACTCTGAATTGTTTTCCAAGTGTGGCATGCAAGAGGAGTGTGATGTTTCATGCTTGCTGTTTGTCCTTCAATTAATTAAACAGAAGTATGATGATTGTGAAGAGCAACAGTTTGATTCTGAAGACGTGGAAAGAGATCTACAGTTGTCTATCAACATTTTGAATAAGGTGGAATCTGAAGTCGGTGGCGCGTTATCTCCAGAACTTCTCCAGGAGGTTTTGCTTCCAACTTTCGTAAAAAACGATGCTTATGTGAAGCTAGCGCAAGTGGAAGATTGCGTTTATTTAAAGCACGGGTCGCGATCATTGAATGATGATGATGATGATGAAAGCATGGATCATTTACTATTACACAGAAAAGTCCCTTATAGCACTGCAGAATATTTCAACGTTCGAACTTTACAGAACAGCATGCTAGATCCTGATGAGCTTGGATTTGGGGAAGAGTGTGGACAGGAGGAAAAACTTACCAGTCGACTCAGCACGCTACTGGAGGACTACACCGATGGATTTGCAGTACCGAAAGAACTTATTCAAAATGCAGACGACGCGGGTGCAACTGAAGTTAAGTTCCTGTACGATGAAAGAACCAACGAGGATGCAATGGACCTCTTGTTTGACGAAGGAATGAAAGACTGCCAAGGTCCTGCTTTGTGGGTGTACAATGATGCTGTCTTTCAGAACAAAGATTTTGAAAATCTGACTAAGCTAAATGGAGCGACAAAAGAAGAAGACACACAAAAGATTGGAAAATTTGGACTTGGTTTTAATGCAGTTTACAATCTGACAGACGTTCCTATGTTAGTGAGCCGGAACTACTTTGTTATCTTTGATCCTAACACTTTTCATCTCGGAAGAGCCATTAGAAACAAAAGCAAACCGGGCATAAAAATTGACACCAACAAAAACGTCAGGAAGCTGCGGAGTTTTCGCCATCAGTTTAAGCCGTTTAATGGTATCTTTGGCTGTGATTTCTGTCTGGAAAAAGAAGACAACTCATTCCACGGAACACTGTTTCGCTTTCCTTTACGAACCAAAACTCAGGCCATAAAGAGCGAAATAAAACAACTTGTTTATGACTGCAAGCAAATGAAAGAACTTTTACAGCTTTTTATCAAAGGGGCTGGATCATTACTTCTCTTTACGCAGAATATCCGTCGAGTCAGAATTTTTCACCTATCTAAAGAGGCGACAGATGCGACACAACCTAAACTAATGTTTGAAGTAACGAAGTCGTTAATGCAAGAAGGGATCATACGAAAATTGTCTATGGTAGTGGACCTCCCTTCTGCTGCCAGCAGTCTCAGCAAAGAAGATAAACTCTGTCTGGAGCAATGTAACTTTCTTAAGGCATCAACAAAGACTGCTAGATTTGTCGAAGAAACAGAAAATCCCAGCGCCGTTTTGCTGAGATCAGGGCTAATCCTTGACATTCAAAGCATCGTGACGGAGGATGGACGCCTTTTCTTTCAAGACACTACTACTCTACCAACAGGTGTCGAGACTTGGCTTGTCGCCTCTTCCATGGGCAATGGCGAAGCACTGAAGTTTTCCCGGAGTGAAAAAAGTCTCATTCCTTCAGCAGGAGTTGCTGTTCAACTGTCGATTGACAATGGCTCTGTTTCAGGACCTCTATGTCCCTCAGATTTTAAAGGAACCTTGTTCTGTTATCTTCCACTTCCAATTTACAGTGGTCTTCCTTTACACGTTAATGGCGCTTTTGCAGTGGCCTCAAACAGACGTGCTTTGAAGCAGAAAACAAATGACGACAAAGCCTGTGTTGGAGCAGACTGGAACAATATTCTATTCCAAGATTCAGTATGCGCAGCGTACCTAGATCTTCTTGAAGACGTTAAGTCATCTAGTACTCAAATTTCTGGGAGCAAATACATGTTTCATTGGCTGTGGCCCTTGTCTTGTAAAGTGGAAAAGGCCTGTGAACCGCTGGCGAGATCACTTTACGACCACCTTGCTTCTGGTAAAAGTTCCCTTTTCTCAGATGGAGAAAAATGGGTCAGCATCCACGAGGTTGTCTTTCTCGATCCACATTTTCGCCAAGATTCTGAAATCGGTGACGTTTCATTTAAAGTATTTCAGATGTTGGTTTCTAGAGATGTAGCTGTGATCGATCTTCCTTATGATGTGTACAAATCGTTTGCAAACTATGGGTACGAAGAACTGATCCATTCCAAAAGATATGACGTGAACAGGTTCTTTGTCGAGCTATTTTTCCCCAACATTGGTTCTGTCCCGACTCAATTGAGAGACAGGCTGGTCATGTACGCACTGGATGAGAAAAATGAGAGGCTTGACGAGATGATTAAGGGCCATAAATGCATTCCAACAACACCGCAAGGTGAAACGCTCAAGTGTCCTAGCCAGCTTATAAGTCCAAGCAGAACAAGTGCTTTGTTGTTTTCTCCGTTAGATGAAAGGTTTCCTCACGGCAATGGACAAACATTTCTTCATCCCTCACGTCTTTTTAAACTCCAGCAGCTTGGAATGTTAACCGACGACCTCCCCTGGACAGAGATTGCAGAGAGAGCAGAAAGCATCAGTATCTTAAATCAAATGTCTACGGACGCAGCTTCTAAAAGAGCCAAGAACCTGATCGCCTTCTTAGAAAATAAGCTGATTCGTGACGGCATACCCTCTTCGCTGAGTGAGGATCATTCCAGAATTTTAAAAGCAAAATTTCTGCCAGTTCTCAAGAAACCAAAGTCATTTCCCCTTATTTGGAAGGGGAGTGAAAGTGATGGTGGAAAAAATCAAGTGTTCGTATCGTCGATGGAGGGATTTTTATCCGAGCACACGTATTTAGTATGCTGCAGCCAGCCAATTATAGAAGAGCCTATAGCAGAAAAAGCCAAAAAGTTTCTGAGATTAGACGGAAAACGACCTACGGTGATGCAGGTAATTGAACAAATTAACGAGGCAATTTCTACAGGCGCAGGAGCCGGTGATGCCGAAACTGAAGAAATAAGAAAAGTTTGCATCCAGTCATACGGATTCCTTCAGGAAGCTCTTGATAGTCATGAAACGCAAATATCAGATTTTCTTCAACGTTCACAATTCATTCTCGTGGAAGATAGATTTGTGTCTTCAAATCAAGTTGCTTTAAAGTTAGCCGTTGATTGTCCTCCATATTTGTACAAGCTTCCAATTGATTTAGCCAGGCGATACTTAACGTTAATGAAGGTGGCTGGCGTGAGAGAGGTTTTTCAGGTGGAAGACCTTATTTCGGCTTTGAAGCGCATCAAGCAAGATTTTCAAGACGAAAAGCTAGACGATAAGACACTTCGTGTTGCAATAAACCTAGCGGCTCAATTGAAACAATCACTGGAGAAGTCCGAAGTGCCGATTACAGCTGATATTAAGAGGACATCAGTTAACCTTCCAAATTCGAGGGGAGTAATGCAACTCGTAAGTGAACTTTGTATTAACGACTGTCCTTGGATTTCAAACAACGAAGGCGTCCAGTATGTCCATCCTGGAATCCCCCTATTAGACTGTTACTACTTAGGAGTTAAAACGCGTAGAGCAGAAGCCTTGCGGCACTATGCTTATGGACTCTCATTTGGTCAGAGAGAAGAACTGGTGAATCGTTTAAGGCGGATTTTGGAAGCCTTTCCATGCGAGAAGGAGCTGTTGAAAGAACTTCTCCAAAATGCTGATGACGCTCAAGCAACCGAAATTTGCTTTGTTCATGATCCCCGACACCATCCCAAGAAAAAAGTGTTCGAAGAATGCTGGGAACCTTTGCAGGGTCCGGCATTATGTGTGTATAACAACAAGCCTTTCACGCAGGCTGACATTGAAGGAATACAAAACCTTGGACAAGGAAGTAAGGGGAGTGACCCAAACAAGACTGGGCAGTATGGCGTTGGTTTCAATGCCGTCTACCACTTGACAGATGTTCCTTCCTTCATGTCCAGTGGCGAAGAAATTGGCGACGTCTTATGTGTATTCGATCCACATTGCCGGTATGTCCCTGGAGCAAGCTCTCAAGAACCTGGAAGAATGTACACAGATACCAAACAACTTAAGACAGTTTTTCCAGACGTTTTTTCCTGCTATCTAGAAGAACATTTTCCCATCGAGAACTCCACTGTGTTCCGATTTCCTCTTCGAACACAAGAGATGGCAAAAGTTTCCAGATTAACAAAAACCCCAATCACCTCCCAGACACTGAATGAAATGATGCAGTCCCTGAAGAACGAGCTCTTTGAAGTCCTCCTTTTCGTTAATAATGTCAAAAAAATTACTGTATGCGATATCGATGGAAACAGCGGCAAGATGGCAGACACGTTCTCAGTTGAGGCGGCGATGTCGGATAAAGATGAGGTGAAACGACGGGAATTCGCTAATCATATAAAGCAGATCGGAAAGTTAGCAAAAGAAAAGGGAAGTGTCATCTTAAATACCGAAGTTAAAAAGTGCTCCTATGTCATGACTCTGACGGACTCTGACGGCAACGAAGAGAAGTGGCTAATTGTTCAACAATTTGGCTTTGAAAAACCGGTGTCAGAAAGCATAGCGTTTGCTTACCGAAATCAAGAGCTGGGGATGATTCCTCGAGGTGGCGTAGCTTGTCTTTTGGAAAAGAAATCAAAGAAACATGGAGAAGCGATTAGAAAAAAGAAGGCTTACTGTTTTCTTCCGCTTCCCATAGAAACTAACCTTCCAGTTCACATCAATGGACACTTTGCTTTGGATCACGAGGCCAGAAGAAATTTGTGGTGGGACGAAAAAAGCGGCTACCGAAGTGAGTGGAACAATGCAATACTTGGGGATGTGGTGGCATCATGCTATCTTACACTTTTAGACGAAGTGAGGGGATTCTACCAGTTACCATTCATGGCAAACGAATCTGAAACTCTAAGATGTCCTGAAGATGATCTCCTGGAGAGGGTTAGACGTTTTGAGAATTTATTTCCACAGTTTGATGGTCCTGGTTCCCACTGGAACACACTTGTTAGATCAGTGTATAGGGGCATGGATGAAAAACGACTGCGGCTTTTGCCTGTAGTGCGCTGCTCTTCACAAAGTACAGCCCCTGGACGTTTAATCCAACTCAGGTGGTTTCCGCCAACAGGCAAAGGAAAAGACCAAGCATTCTTTAACAACATTGACAACGTTGGAAGCGCCAGCAAGCAGAGTAAACATGGAGAACGTGATCTTGGAGAAATCCTAATTCAAACAGGGTTTAATCTGCTAAGTTTTTCCTTACTTGTATTTGAGGCATTCAAGAAATCTGATGTCAACACCACTTGTGTTTCACCTTCCTCGGTATTAGATTTCTTCAAGACGTACAGCTCTCAAGATTACCTTGGCACTGTTGGAATCGATATCAGTGAGACGCCGTTCGAAAACGTCCAAAGTCTTACACTTCTGCTCAGGTACTGCAAGAGAGATTTTCATTTTCTGAAAAGATTACATGGTCTTCCGTTGCTCCTAACGCAGGACAACATACTTCGGGCATTTGATGTTTGCAATCCCAAGTTTTTGTCTCGCTACCACGACATTTTGCCGAATTCGAAAGACATGTTTGTCCATGAGCATGTAAGATACAACCTCTTCGATGACACTGCAAGTCTCGAGTCACATGTATTCCAACGTTTTGATGTCCAGGCTTTTTCTTTCCTTTTACCGGATTCTTTGCCGGCGTGTTCGTTTTGTCGGTCAGATGAATACGTTACGTGGAAACCAGATAGCACGCTTCAGCCAAATAGTTGGTGGATCTCTAGAGTCTGGAGCTTCCTTGGGGAAGAGGTAGCACGCTTTCAGCGAGGTTGGCCAGGAAGTGGAAGCATACTGTCAGTACTGAATCCTCTGACTAACTGGAACATCCTCCCTGCAACTGAAGTGCAGGTTGAAATTGACTCAAATGATCCAAGTGTGGTCAACGAACAAGTGTTGGTTCCCTTGACACTAGCCGAATCTGTTCTTGACTTTAGGGAGCAATCTAGAAGTAGTCCACTGGATTCAGCTTTGAGAGACCTGGGTCTTCCTGAGCTGAATTGTGCTATTTTTTCTGCCTCGTCTGCAAACAAAACGTTTTTGGCTTCTCAGCCCATTGCAAGGCAAATTGTAGCATCGCCTGAAAAACCGAGTTCTATCCTTGCAGCACTCCTCCAAAAGATGAAGCGAAACCCACAGTCCTTGCAAGGAAAATTGGATCCTTCAAGTTGTAAAGTCATCCTTCAGTATTTTGGCCACAACGTTGAACTCCTCGAGAAAACGCTTTCCACAAACGATTTAGAGTCTTGCAAAACTACTCTGAGAAAGTTGCCCTTTTATTCAACTATAGACGGTCGTCTTGTCAGTCTAAATGAACAAAAAGTTTGCGTAATACCAAGTGTTATGCCTCGAGAAGAGATGGCCCTGTTACAAGAAGAAGTGAAAATGTTGTTTCTGGAATCCATGGAAGATCTTTCCAAGCTATTTAAATTTTTGCGATTTGATTCCATCTCGACTGTGGATGTGTATTGTCAGTCCGTCTTACCACATTTCCAGGTCTTCAGTACCGAGGCACGGCAGAAGCACCTCAAGTATATCCGCGACTCCTTGCTTAATGATGCGAGCGATGAGTACAGACTGTTGCAATGCTTGAATAACACAGAAGTCATATCCAGCAAAGAGGGAACGTTGAAAAAAGCGTCTAGTTTCTATGACCCAAGGAATGAAGTTTTCAAAGCCATGCTTCCCGAAGAAATCTTCCCACCTGTACCCTACAACTGTCTAGAGTGGTTGCCGTTTATGAGGAAAATAGGAATGATACATGAAATTTCCCGTGATCATTTCATCAAGTTTGCCAGGGAAGTTGCACAGGAGGCATCACAGCGCCGTGCTTCGAAGACAGACGAGAAGTCAAAGCTTCTTGTTTCCAACCTTTTGAAACGATCGAAACCATCAGATGGACTGCTGCAAGCGGTTTGTAATGTTCGTTTTGTAGTCTCAGATCCAGTCGCGGATGACCTTAAAAAGTTACATTCACAGTATGGTTCAAAGGACGATGGCCCCAGTCCATACATTTCATTTCAAGACTCTGTTGTTTCTGATCATACTGAAACCGTGTGGACAGCAGCGCACATACTTCCACGATGGGCTGATCCGAGATTTTGTTTTGAAATGAAAGTACCTCACTACTTAAAGAGGGACGATTTTACCAGCTNCATCAAGTTTCCAAACAAAATGACAAGAAATTTGCTGACGATCAGGGTACCACGAGGATGTCAGTCATGAGAAATATGTACAAGTTTTTCCAAAGAAAGGTTTCAGCAGGAAATTCTATCGTGGAGGACCTTAAGAACAAGCCTTGCATTTTGGTTGAAGAGGGGACAAGATTTGTGCAAAGCAAACAAGTGGTTCTTGAGCTGTACGAGAGCCTGGAGATATCACCATTCCTTTATCGGTTGCCCCCTGTGTTAGGGGAGTTTCAGAGTTTGTTTCGTCGATTGGGCTGCACTGATTCTGTTACAGCTTTACACTACTCCATGGTCTTGGAAATGTTACACGAGCACTGTCAGTCAATGAAGTTGAATCCAAATCATATTAAGAGTTCTTTAAAAGCGGTCCGAGGACTTTTCGAAACGCTGGAGCCAAATCCCCAGGAGAAATCTGAGTTCCAAACCTTGTACCTACCTGCAGTGTATCAGGTTAGCAGATGCTCCTTTGACAACCTGCACAAGTCGACTGATTTAATATTCGATGACGCTCCGGAATATCAGAGTAGGCTTGAAAAGTTTGACCAACTATTAGTAGTGGACCTTAAGATGGCGGAGCTGCAGTGTTCTTCCTCTATGAACTATAAGGACTACATCTTACGCCTTCCAGAAATAGTACGACCGCAATTTCTATCTGATGTCATACAAGAAAGATTAACTTCTTTCAAAGAAAATGTTGACTCTAGTTCCACCGACATCGTTGCTGATTCCTTAAAAAAGCAATTATGTTCAAGACATTTCTTTCAAGGAATTTTGAGGTTAATTCGTCACGCAAACCATGCAAGTAAATGTTTAGATGAAACTACAACTGTTCGTCTAGAAAGCAGACTTCGAAGTATTGAGTTTCTTGGACTGAACCAAATTGTGACCCACCTGGTGTATAAAGAAAATATCATTCCTGGCAGTGAAGCAGAAGTACCACATTTTTTGGAAAAATTTTCAGAAAGTGGCAGAGATGTTTGGAAGGTGTATGTCAATAGGAAGACAGAGGAGGGCGATACTCAGATATCACTGACCTTAACGCAAGTGATCGCAGAAGCGTGTGAGGGATTGTTGCGAGAAACTGTTATGTTTATACCAGAGATGTTGCGCACGAAACCCAACAAAATTTGGTCAATCCTGGACCACATGAAAATTCGGCAGGATGACTCTTATGATCCATCGCTAAGTGATCTTTTACCTGACCCAGGTGACTTCATCCCGATTCAGGATCATCATCTTCTGGACGAAGCATTCCAAGAATTCTCTCCCGGAGAATATGTTGGTTTCGAATTGGAGGATCCAAGTCTAGAAAATCAGAAAGGAGATGCCACGTTTATCTATGCCATTATAGTTGAAGACGTCAGTGGCGATGAAGATACAAGTATCTACACAAAACGTTATAAAGTAAATGTCGGACACGACAAAGAACTGTTGGTTGCCGAGTCAGCAGATTTGTACAAATTTCATCAATTTCACCCTTCTGCTGCTAATCAAAAAGGAAGCTCCACTCAGGATGCAGACAGAGAAGAAATTTTTCGAAAAATCACAGAGGTGCTTAAAATGGTATGGCGTCTTCCTACGAGAAGAAAAAGAAAGATTATAAAGCGATTGTTTCTTCAGTGGCATCCCGAAAGAAACATTGGAGATGCCGATCTCTGCAAGAAAGTCTTTCAGTACCTTCAGAATGAAATTGAAAAGTTAGAGAGGGATGATGAAGAGAGCGATCAAGGGAGCTACAAGAGTTTTTACCATGTCTGGACAACACGAGCCAAGCTGTATCGTACACAGCGCCAAGAATACAGAGCAAAGTTTGTTAAAACATATGGCTCCTGGGAAGCCTCGACGAGCCACAGTAGAAGTGGATGGGTTCCACCAAGTTTCTGCAAGAAAAATCCCCAACCAGGTGAGGCAAGACGCTGGTTCAGACAGGCCGAAGAGGATCTAAAGGCTGCTCAAGAAGATTTGCGTTTTGGCACCACATTTTACGAGTGGGTGTGTTTCAAGTGTCACCAGGTGGGCTGGTTATGTTATTTAATCGTTCAACCTAATGTTTTTATTAGATAGGAACGTTAAAAGTATGTCTGGCAGAATTCTACTAGCAAACGTCTGCCAAACAAAGAGGCACCCACTCCAAATAGCTTTATCTTACTACTTACCAGGAAAACCAGACAATATACTTTCCCCTACCGAAATTATATGAATAGGTTAGCAAAGCAAAAGATTATGTCTATGAAAATAAAATTAAACGTTCATGGAATAAAGTTTTACCTTTTTTTTAGCCTGTCTTATGATTTTCAATAATTATGTAATTGCCAGCTTTTGACCGAAATATTTCCCAAATTCTGGTATTTTCAGGTCAAAATGATGTTACATATTTCAAAGTAACTTTGTTGCCTTTTATTTATATATTTTAAGATCGCGTGTGCATCTCTAAAAACTGATGTTAGAGGGGTTGAGAGAGGCCTTTTGTGCTTTCTGTTTTTATTGTTGTTTAGAGTGGGGGTGCAAATGTGTGGGTATTCGTGAAAAACATTTTTTTTCATGATTTATTCATTTAATTTCTTTGTGTTCATTATTATTGGTAGGCTGCAGAGAAAGCATTGAAGGCTGCCCAGTATGCAGAAGATGCCTCCAAGACGCGTGTTCATAATCTTTCATTGAATGCCAGCTATTTGGGTGACTCAGAATTAGCACGCATCGCCAGCGATCTGGAATGTTGTGTGGTGGATTCAACACGCATGCGGTACCCTGATAGGGTTAATTATCCCGCAATTCCACATGATGTCTACACGGATGGCATGGCCAGAAAAGCGTTGGGTCTAGCTAGAGAAATTCTCGAAAGAGTCCGCCAAAATTGGCAGGTTTGTAAGCAAAAATAGAGATCATCACCAGTCTTAGGGCCTGTGTCTAATGTGGACACGACGTATTTTCCTGCAATCCGTAGGGAGCTAGTACTAAAAAAGGACCTTCTCCTATGACGAATTTAAATTAGTTGGCTGATAAAAAAAACTCTGAACTCAATGATTCACGTGTAATAAAGCAAAACCTAACGTCATAGAATAGATAAACATTAATTTATCAGCCTCGTAAGAATCCATTNTGGCATGGCCAGAAAAGCGTTGGGTCTAGCTAGAGAAATTCTCGAAAGAGTCCGCCAAAATTGGCAGGTTTGTAAGCAAAAATAGAGATCATCACCAGTCTTAGGGCCTGTGTCTAATGTGGAAACGACGTATTTTCTTGCAATCCGTAGGGAGCTAGTACTAAAAAAGGACCTTCTCCTATGACGAATTTAAATTAGTTGGCTGATAAAAAAAACTCTGAACTCAATGATTCACGTGTAATAAAGCAAAACCTAACGTCATAGAATAGATAAACATTAATTTATCAGCCTCGTAAGAATCCATTCAGAGGTGCTGTCTCTCATTCAGAATTTAACGAAAGAAAAGACAACCGCCTTTTTTGCGTTTCTTTTGTACCTTAGAACATTGGAATCGAAGTAGAAATAGTGGGTGCTTACCATTTGACAGAAACTTTCGGAAATTACGGATGGAAGGTAAATGATAAAGTCACTTTTCCGAGAATCCAAGCGAAAATTGAAGAGTACGTTTTGAGGTAGTCCGTTCATCCCGGTTGGTACGAACGAACCAAACGAAATGTTGCTTACCATTTACCAATTTCTCCGTTCCTTGTCGGTTCCAGACTCACGCTACACAAATTCGCCCATGTTTTGGATTCAAACCGTAACGGATGTGGTAATTTTGCTGTGTACTGGTAAATCGGTTACCACTATGCTTTCGACACCCCAAGCGGATTTTCCTGTCAAATGGTAAGCACCTAGTGAACCTTGGGCGCTTCTTACAAAGATTACCGGTTGTGGCTAATGAAGCATCAGAGATTTGTTTGCAGTGTAATCATCTTTGACGCGTGTTTTGTGCTCTTAGTCTTAACATTCTTTTCCAGAGTGGTTTAGTGAATCTATGTTAAAAAACAGTACAGCGTTAATTTTTTGTGTGCTATTTTGTTTTGACCACCCACCCCGTTATTGTTAGGGCAGAGCTCAGAGAGAGCCAAGCAATCTTGATCAGGAAACTAAATCAATTATTTGAATTTACCAATGAACTATTAGGTTCTTTTCTCTGGCGTTTTCATTATATACCTAATAATAAAAGATTAAAAGGTGAAACATTAACATTTGCTTGTAGAAAAATGCCTTTTTTCAAAAACGTTACGGCTTTTGTGCGAACTGTCTTTTGCAAGATACAGTAGACGCCATGTTAACGAAAGGCAATCGTCCTTCTTTCACGCTTTCGATTTTTTTTTACATGCAGAGAACATGTCCTAGACTAGAAAATGCCTCTGATTTAAGATAATTAAGGAAGGCCGTGAATTCGGAAGTGATTTGCTTTGGACTATCGTAAAACACAAGTGCATATCCTTCTTAACACTATAAACTGTAGTCAAAATCTTAACAAGTTTTAGATAGCGATCAAACAATAAAATCAATTTCAATTGTCACCGTGCAACGTGTTATCCCGAAATATTATAGACTTCTTTGATCGATAAACTCCTTTTGTTTCCACTGTACTCAGCGTTCATTGTTTACCCTCGATCTTCTACATAAAGGCAACAGAGATTGCTAAAACATCCTCGCGCTTGGTGTTTATTATATTCGGGGCATAGTCCTGGACCAATCAGAGCGCGTCAGTTTATATAACATCTTAAGTAATCGTGTTAAAAAATGCATATTGGTTTCGGCAGAGGGAAATCTTAAGCCTGGTTTTCACTAGCGCATAAGCTTAAGCAAAAGTAAAACAGACGGGTTAATTCGTTGTTCTTGAGCATGTGCCTATGCTTAAGTCGTAGGTTTGACTAGTGAAAAAGGGGGTGGACATAAGAATATGCATAAGTACAAGGCCGTGGACCAATCATAGGTCAATTTGACCCAAATCTCATGCGAACATATCAAAAACAATATGGCGGACTCTTCCTCCGCCATCTTGTTTGTCATAGAGTTAAGGAGAGCAGGTAACGAGAATTGAGTCAAATATGCCATTCTGCGCGTGCATATGTCCTTGTGCTTATACTTATACGCTAGTGAAAAACAGCCTTTAGAATGTTCGCTGTCATATTTAAAAAAATTGAAAAGGCTAAGCCACTTTTTTATCGCAATAGGGACGGCGTTAGGGAGCGCACTAGAGTTGTATAGATTTAAACATGGATCCGAATGGCGAGCGTTTTCTACGTTTACTGTAGTTTTGTTCAATGAGGCTCCGTAAACCTGATTCTCAACCCTAGATTGGCAGAAAAACGCGGAAACAATGGAAAATCAAGAACGTACTAAAAGTGGCCTGGAGGTGATAATGATGATTATAAACTAAGACACTGAGGATGTTATTTAAGTTATTTTATTACCAAATCAATCAAGTAACCAATCTTTGTAAATAAAACACCTCACATTTTAATGTTTCTGGTAAGAGTACGCATTTATCACGATTTTGTGGCCTTTTCAGTGAGGAGATAATTTTCTATTTACCAGTTAACAACAAGCCAAATTTTCGTCGCTTTCTTGCATTACATTTTCTGATACAACTGGCGACAAATATAAAAGTTAAAAAAGAAAACAGGTCAGCAAAACAACAACTCTGCACGTGCATCACACTTTTTTGTGCATCGTCGCAACATGACTACTACGTGAAAATGACTAGTTTCCCTTAATGGGAGGACGTAAACGGCATATGGCGAAATTGTCTCTGAACTTTGATAGTTCTTATGAATTCCACTCCAGGAAAGTTCGCATCAAAGTGACGTTAGGTGAGTAGGAATAATCGCGATGAAGATTGAGTGAATGTGAATTCGCTTTTAAAGGGAAGTTTTCGTGGAATTTAACAATGGACTTTACGATCCGACGATGCGACGGCAACGAGAACGTCGAAAATTACAATAGGTCTAGTAGACAAAACAACAGCTACGCACGTGNAAAAAAAAAAAAAACTGATATTTTTACTCATGTCAATACAGACTGACTAATAATTTCCCTTTTAAATACCGTCATAGAAAAAAATTACACCTTGGAAAACAGAATGTGAACACAAACGAGTGGCTGGGTAACCTGTGCAAAGCCGTCAAGACGAAACACTGACCCAGGTGTTTCTCACACATTTAGTTGGCGTTTTTAAACCAAAACTAGCCAAAATACATCAGCGATGTATATCGAAAACCCTTGAGGAAAAAAAAAATTATCAAATGCATTATCTGAATTTGTGAGCTTCCTAAAATTGGGTGTCCTGTGGTGAAAGTTGAAAATCGTTATTGCCAATTTTTCTCATGTTTCACCGAACCGATTTTGGCGGATTTTTAATATGTTGTTACAAAGCCATCCAACAATTAAACGGCGTTAAAAAAAATTCTGTTGCAATTAGGTTGATGCTAAACCACAATTTGACTGGACTAAACTTTTGATTTTCCGTTCTGCTTGCTTGTTTGTCGGTTCTCATTGCTCGTTTCAGACGTGCCGAAAACTTTATAACAAAGACTTAACAACATAGCCAAAATTCGGAATTGAGGAGTTCTTCTAAAACGAAAGTTGAACGATAAACTAAGAAAGAGAAAAGGAAAACGTTCGAGGTCGCTTGATCTTGGCTCTTGCACGTACGTGTAATTGCATCCTGCGATCAGACGTTTCTTGTGGAGGGAGAGGGAGTGGGGTGCAACGCAGGGAGCGCAAAAGTCGTACACTGAGGAAAGGGGCTGGAAAAAAAGAAAGATGTCAGGTCAAAGAGATCTGAATGCCTGATTGTATGAAAGTGAAGCAAAATTATAATCCGGAAGTCAGAAAGGATTAATGTGTTTTGCACGGCTGAAAAGTGATAGCGTACTGAAAATATCAAATGGCCACAAACTGATTGGAATAACATTTAATATTTTCAGAGCCAATTTCCATGACCGATTCCAATAATTCTATGTTTTCTTACCAAACAAACGACAATTATGTGGCGCGCCACAGCAGCTTAAGC